TATATATATATATAATATAAACAGCTGGAAGTTATTTAAATAAGTTGATTTTAATCTAAAGATATTGAAATGTTGTTCTGAAGCATTTCTATTCAATTAGACACGATTTTTCTTTCAATTGGCGACCGTTATAATTATTATTTTTAATATTTATTTGGTGGGATACTTTACATTATGCTTCAACAATTTATGTAAATAATTTATGATATATTTGGAAATATTCATTGATTGATCGTTACAACATATTTAATACATTTTTAAAAGGGGACTTCTAATGTATTAACATGGCTGGTGGTCTAATTTTTTGTTCTATTTGACGTGGATATAAACATTGGCATCAGGAAATAAGGAAATGAGCTGGTTTAATTAATGTATTGTTTTGATCCAAATAGTTTTTTTTTTTTTAATTTTTTTTTCCATAAGAAAATAAACAAAATAAATGACAGATAAATTTTACGTAAAAAATCCAATATGAAAAAAGCACGAGCAGACATGCACAAACGAATATTTATTCCTTTAACAAGACGAGTTTACAAGAAATAATTAAAAGAGAGTAAATAAAATAATCATACATGTATTGCAATCTAAAGACAATAATATTTTGATATAAAGATCGCAATAGACTTTTCTTCTGAAGCCTCAATCTAAAAGGAGACAATAAGTGGGATCCACATTATTTGAGTCACAAATTTAACAAAAAAAAATGTGATAAAAATTACAAATTTGAACTTTTATTTATGAAATAAAAAATAAACTTTTTTCCTTTTTTTTTTATCCAACTTGAATGTCAAGAAAAGTGCCCATTACTTCAGCGGAATTATATACTTTTGTTCACATATATATATATATATATACATATGAATAACATTGCAAGCAACATAAAGAACTCCTTCTTCCTCAACAAAAACAGAACATGTGTTGCCAAAGATCATGGTCGGCAATGGACTTGGATTGCTTAGTTGAAATCTTCACGAGGCTCGGCCTCAGCGACCTCACCCTCACCATCCCCTTCGTATGCACATCATGGCTTCTTCG